TTAGCTCTTAGCAAATAAGTTAGATTTAGATCATGAAGAGCTACCGTTTGAGTGGTTTGGTTTCGTTGATTCTGAAGATAGTGGGCATTCACTGCTATGTTTGGTAGCATACATTGAATACCCATAAAATGGAAAAGTAGCTGCCCAAGAATACGGGATAAATTCGATAAACATATCAAGAATAAAAATTGACAAAACACTTACTAATTACACTACAAAAAGATAAAATTTGAAGTTCTAGTATTGACAAAACAACTTCAATTTTCTTTCTCTCTCAAGTACTTTAAATATTATATTAAGTAGAAAAACCACAAAGTTTATGCTTAGGCAAGAAGAGTTCTTAGACATTCTCATATCTCTTTTCCTGCTGATGACGCTTTCAAGAAACCTAGCGGATAATGTCGCAATTTGTTCTTTGTTGATAGATGATTTCCGTAAATCTATTTCTTCCTTTATTCTGTGGAAATTACACAGTAATAATAAATATATGTCCACACAAAATCAACGTTATTATTCATCTCTACATATATAAACTAAAATCGCAGAAATTTTTTAATTATTTGGTATTAAATCTCCGGTTTTGAATATTTGTCGCTGTGCGAATATTATAAATATGTAAATAACGATGGTAAAACCACACCACAGTTATATTTTTAACTACTAACGATTTATTACATACCAATAAATTAATCTTACCAAAAAAAAAGTGAATTACGGAATAAATGGGGAATATTCAGTGGCTATCTTCTAAATTTTTTTTTAACAAAAATAACGTAACACTCGCCCTAATTACCTGAATAACGGTCTTGTATCGGTACTTTATTAAAATAAACATATCTGGAAAAATCGGATTATTATTATTAAAAAAATATTAAAAGAAGTATTGTAATACTTTCATGTTTTCTCGACCTTTCATGACCCCTAGAGTACGAAAAATTAGGTCTCCCGTTATCGTCTATCTGTCTGTCGACTGAGTTGATTTTTATTACACAGACAATTCTGACAATCTCAGAAACCATTGGACCTATTGTAAAATTTTAAATATATGTTAAGAACATCATGTAGTTGGTAAATATTAATTAAAATTTGTCTAATTATCCCCGCCAACACCAACAATGTCACGTCAACATTTTGATTAGTAAATAGTATTTAAATTTTAGCAAAAAACATACCCCTGTACCTACTTGTAGTTTACGAATCGGCCTTGATTTTTAATCACAATGACTTTACAAAAATTACTTACGTGCGAAAGAAGAAGATGGTAGCTGAGTGATTAAAGCGCTGAAATTGAGCAACTTGAGTTCGCTGTCTGAATAACTTTCGACCAATTTTTTTTCTTTTAATATTCAGTCCCCTACGGATACACTGCATAATCTAGTATGACAAATAATCTCTATAATTTTAGTTCTGATGTAGAAGATCTAATTGTGTCGTTTACGTAACTCTTAAATTTCTATTTATATACATAATAAATACAAAAAGTTTTTGGCACAACACACGTCAAGTGACAAAACAATTTTTATACATGTCATGACGGTATTTTTAGACAACCTTACCCTTTACCAGTTCGAACGATAACCAAAGTCCGAAATATATGCAATTTACATGTCTACTGTTATCCTTGATATCCTTTGGTATCTTCAGGAACTGACGTAAATATTTTTTTGCATGTTGCATATTTCAACTTCTTTGCATATTTTGACCAATGCTGCATATTTGAGGTTATTCTGCATATTTCTGCAAAATTTACACATTTTTAATTTTGATGAACTTTGCCAATATTTATTTCGTTACAGTATTTTTGAAAATCATATTTTTTTAAAATCTCCACTAGACATCGTGTAAGATAAATAAAAATTGTTCCAACCTTTAGCACCGGCACGAGTTTTTATGCTGCAAAATTTAAATACTAAAACCTGATTCCCCTCGACTACCTTCGAAAATTACCCAGAGAAATTTTTGTGTAGAGTTTGATCTCCAGAAGTTATTTCCGGTTTCATTTTTCCAAAAATTCCTACCATTTTTCCAAAATCACCGAATAAAATATGACAATTTCAATGTTTTTTTTTTTTTTTATTCTAGAATCGAATATTTCGAAAATCTTGAACCAAAACCGTCAACACGTTCCTTTTTTTTTGTGTATTTTTAAACAGCTTTTCCAAAAGATGAATTTTTCCATTAAATTTCAATACTTTCTAATACATATAAAACTGATTTTGGAAAATGATGTAACCGCTAAGAAAAAAAAAAGCGAGTAGGCGAGGTTAGTACTTGCTAAGATAAGACTGATTTTGGTGAATGACATACCCTCTAATAAGATAATAGAGGGCGGGTGGGCGGGACAGCACTTGTTATGACAAGACTGATATTGGTGAAAGATATACCCTTTAAGACTGAGTTTAGCAAATGATAGACTCTCTATGAAAATAGAGGGCGGGTAGACGATTTTTTTGTAGATTTTGACTTTCGGTTCCATTTCTTCGAAAAGTCCTACCATTTTTGTAAATACGGCAATCTTTAGAATTATTTAAAAAATTTGGCTTTGAAAGCGAACACATATTTCGAAAATCTCGGTCCTGATCCTAAAGTTTTATCCTTCTTTGAGAAGCATACATCGACTATATACAGTGTTTTATTTTTGAGACATAACAGGCCTAGGGTCTTTAAATGGAACATCATATATATTGTAAACATATTTTGATTAGCCCCTTCTAAGATTTATAACTGTATTTTTGAAATTCCGGGACACCGTTATACCAGTTTTCTGGAATTTTTTTTAGCAATCCATGAGTTCACAACAAAATTCGTAATAAGATATTTTTAAGATCTGTGTTGCAATATTTTATACAGAGATAAACAGAGGTACGCACTTTGTTGTGGTATCAATTAAAAATTTACCATTTTTATAAACACCCTCTATATTAAGAATCGATTTTATTTACACCACAACTATCATTTATCCATTGACAAAAAAAAAATAAGAAAACTGGAATAATGTACGAACATTGCATCAAAGTTTCAAAAATGTGTGTTAATGTCTAGAAAAAAAAAGCACTCACAATTAATTTTATAATCAACAAGATCTGATTCAAAAAAAGTTATTTTAGCATATGTTCGAACTGTCGTAAACTTTATTTTTTTATGTTTATAAATTTTATGTATTTTTAACAATTGAAATAAATAAACAAAGGTCAATCATGCCCTAACTGTTTAAACTTTTTCAGTGTGTTTGCTGCCTAATTAATTAAGCAACCAATAATTAACCTCTAATAATCAATTGCTACCAATTTCAAGGAAGTGGCAAATTCTTATTAAAAATGGAATGACAGATTTTCCGAAGCCAACTTGATATTTTATAATCATACCGTATAAGCGAAATTTTAAGCCAATTTGATAAACTGGACAATAATTCATGAGAATAATATGGAACAAATATAAATGAAGTATTAAAAAAAAGATCTAGCAGAATTTAATTTGGGTAAACAATCTCCAATCATAATTAAACTTGAATACTTAATTCTCCTTCTTTCATTCACAAACTTTACACTTAATAATGATCCATAATTTCAAAAAAAATAATAATAACAATAATAATGCGATTATAAAGACTATCTTTGTTTCAAAAACTTTAATTTTCATCAGTTTTTTGATACACAACATATATTTCCTGTAAACACGGCATCAAAAATACAAAGTCACGTACGACAGATGGATCTGATAGAACAAATAAAACTGACCCCAAAAATGTTTGAATTCATAATAGTGACTGACTTATCTGTGACATTCTTAATACTAAACGAAACACAGTTTTAAAAACTAGTTGGGAAATGTAAAACGTAGTTAAATAAGAATTTGAAAATAATAAATAAATGTTTGATTTTTAGGTTAGAGTCGATTGAGAAACATATTTTTATACAAGTTTATTTGCTAAGAAAACATATATTTAATTAATTGTATCCACAGTCAATAAGCATAGTTTATCTCGTTACTTTCTTTAAAACGCAGTAAATTTCATTATTGGTTTGTTTTATTCCAAGTGTATTAAAGAGCTGTTAATTTAACAAATTTTGGATGTTATGATAATAAAAGGTGTTTTACTGGATAGGTTCATTTACCTTTTCAAGCGTTAGCCGAATATCTTTGTAAGCATAGTATAATAAAAAAAAAAATAATTACTTCTGTAGTTTTAAGAATTATCACTAATTTCTGGTATATCAAAAAGGTTTTTAATTTAATCGTGATATTCATTGATCGCATACTCAAATTCTACTATCAATATTTAGCCTTAATGTGCCAATAAGTACTTTATGAGGCATTAATTTTTAATTCGCTTTCGATAAACTATCCCTAAATCTTTGAAGTGCAGTGATTTATTGAAAAAACAACTAATCAAAAATCCCCTCCATCGAATAAAAAACTAAAACAAAATTTTGCTTGGAGTTGAACAATACGTATACGATTACACCCAATATATGTACACAACGATTACAAACACCGTCAATGTAAAAACAGATGATCGTGTAAGTAACACATTCACCTGTTACCTGCTGGAACGTTGTGTATTGATACTTATCTAATTTTAAGTTATAGCATAAACTTGTGTTCCTATTTTTAAGACGATGATACTAAAGGTTATAACGAATCCTCGGCAACATTAAAACACACTTTTAATCCATGTAACCAATGACCAAGGTTGAGAGTAAATAATCGAAATTTACATAAGTTTATGTCAAAACTGATCTTGACCTTGAAATAAAAATTCACGACAAACTAAGCATTACTTAATTTTAAACCGTAAACAGAATTCACTACATTCTTAAACTTATCTTGTTTAAACTCTAAAAAATGTAAATCACTTTGTGAGTCGATAATTACGCACACGTGCCCCCCACGAAATTAAAACTAATTTCTAATAGCATATTTGTTTATTGTTAATTTCCACCGATGACTAAAACCTGTTAAATACGCCTTGAAAACAACACGACCATCAAATGACTCACATGTAATCTGTTAATGATCCTGTCAAAAGGTGTCGGCGATTTAGGATTATCCACAGCATCCGATTTCTTTTTACAGAGCTTATTTCCCATTGCTCTTCCAAAATGGAATAAAAGCACTCAAAGGAACAAAAGCACACTCGGTTAAGAGAACTGCACAAAACACTTGCGTTACTGAAAGTCTCTGCTGAACTACTACAGCCACTGCAGGCAGATGTTGGGGGCCCTGTCGCGACCTTACCTAAGCTGTTGTATTTAACTTTCCTCTCTTGCAGGTAAGGTTAACTCGTTCACATGTGCTCCTACTACGTTTGCCGACTGTTATTCCTTCAATTACTTTTTCTCTACTACTTGTTCCAAATCTTGTTCGGCAAGAGTGATATAACAGTTTCATCAAGGCTTAACCTTGCGGAACAAAATTGACACGGGTATTTTTTTTTGTAATTATATGTGCAGCTAGAGCGTAAATTGGAGGTAATTAACATTAGACAGTGAAGCAAATGTCGAGAAATGATATCTTCACGCAAACGAATTTGATTGTTGCCACTTTAATTTTTATAACTCAGACCAACACAGCAATCTTAGTTTTCTAGTACAAGCAGTGGCATAGTAACTACCTCCCATTTTTTAATAATATATAATTATGGGAATGTTGGAGTGACGTCTACAATTATTTTTAATAATTATTTTAATTGTGAACGTACCACAGAAAAATGACTTAAAATACTTCTAACACTACACAAATAAAAAATATTTTTTCGGCGGTTACTCGAAAATGATTTTTGTAAAATATTACACCATCCTCGAAATGAAATTCTTGCTCAAGAAAAGTGACTTGTCTAATCTGCAGCGACAGTTTGCTTTTTGCAGGAACGAAAAGTTACGATTCTGTCGTTTAATTGGTTATCCTATTAACAAGCAAAAGATTCGTACATTTTAGCATAATATGTGGGATGTTGAATTTAAATAATAAAATTGCGAGTATTTCCGGCGAAACTAGAAGTGACAGATCTTTGGTTGCTAGCGTAAAAAATAAAGTTTGAACACAGTTTAGATCAAACGGGTTTCGCTTGGGAAAAAAATAAAATATGACTCATGGGATCCTTGACGTATTTTAACTAAAAAGCTGCACTGGTTTCCGGATTATCCACTTTTTTATAATAAAGTAAATTCAAAATATAGCTTCTCACTATATAAACTTATTATTAAATTTTGAATTAGTTCAAGTTCAATTTAATAAGCCAGTAATAGCATGGAAATTTAGCTTTTGTATGAGCAACATTTTCGGAGCAAGTTTGAAATCTTTTGGTTAAGAATGTTACATTTATGACGTCATCAAGATTTTTTTAGTAGAAATATTTTGTTACTTTTTTTGTCCTGTTATGACCCCATCGAACTTTTAAATTCTGTTTAGACCTGACCTGCTGACGTGCTGTTTAACATATGCATCTTTAACAGGTTAAGAAATATGTGTAGTTGGATTTGTATATCCAGCAAAGAGATCATATAACTTCACCACAAATATTTATTTTCACAATTTTGTATTATGTTAACCATTTTGTCGAAAAATAATGAATTACTGCAATAACAAAAGTTTTATTAATATGATATCTAGTTTCTCTTTTGCGGTAAAAATTGATCTGAAGCTATTTCGACACAATTTTCCTCGCTCTTGAAGTGCAGTCGAACAAATACAGCTTTTTTGAAAAATTATAAAATTTGATTTTGCGATGTTTGTTTTGTGTTAACCTCTAAAAATTAAACCCAGTGGCGTAAATAACACGTAGTGGCCACTACGCTTAAAATATAATTAAATATAGACGGGTGCAACATAATTATATACACTAAAATTTTCGAGAAAATGGGGTGAATCATTTTTAGTTTGATTAATAAAAAAATAGTTTAACATTTTTAGGACACGCTCATCGAGTTTACAAGACATCAGAGTTCTTATACTATAAAATCTGATGCTGCAATTTAGGTCTTTTTGTTGCGAAAATCTAAATAGATACCTAAGGTAAAAAATCCAAGCGGATGCATAAACCGCAATTATAGGAGTGTGTTACTTTAGAAAAATGTAATAAAATAAAATAGTTTATTACCATACATGTTTGTACAGGGATTATACACGATTTGTTTTGGCTCATCAAACAGAAAAAATAAATGTGTACCGATATGTAAGTTACAACAATTACAATAAACAAACTGCATGAAGTACAAAATACAGAAATGATTTCAGCTTTTTGTTAATTATTTACAAACTCATTAAACATAGGTGAAAGATCGTTATTGAAACAGAATTTAACAAATTAATCGCAACGATAACTATTAAGTTTAAGTGATAAGATGTGTTCAGCTAAGCATTTAACAGTTTAATACAATTAAAATTTACGTCATTTCTTTGGCTCTTATGTCTTATCCAATCGAAAGTATTGAATGATGAATTTGCTGTAATTTCGCGTATTGTGATAATGAGAGTGAAAATTTTATGATAAATCTTTAGCTTACCGTAGATGCAGAATATTTATTTAACCGTTGAAATAGTGGTTTACAGTGAACTTTTTGATCACTAATGTTGAACATAGGTCGCACTGCGCACTAACTTCATCAAATTGTCGATGGGAATAATAAGCCAAATTTGGGATAGCATTACCATCTACATGATATTCCTAATATCAATACAAAATTTTACAACAATCGGTCCAGTAGTTTCAGAGATTATCCACAGAAACACATGACAGACAGACCGATCGACGACAGATAATAGACAGACTGAAAAGAAAGACCTATTTTTTCGTATTCTTGGTGGCATGAAAGGTCGAAAAAACCTGAAGATATCCTACTGAGTTGTTGGAAAAACCTTGGAAATTTCGGGAAACGAACACGGGGCCTTTCATATGCAAAGTGAGCTCTTTTTCACAGCGCCATAGCCCGTTTGACATTACTCGAATTATGTACCTAAAGACAGTTTTAGTATTTGGAAAGGTAAACGGTAAAAATAATAATAACGAAAGCAAGGTGAATTCATAAACCACAAATATAGCAGTATGTTATCCTATAAAATTTGAATTGGGGGAGATGATCAGACACATTTTAGTCATCTACACAATATTCCTAACACGCATATAAAATTTCACAAGAATCAGTCCAATAATTTCAAACGGACAGACGACACACAGACGACAGACAAACAACAGACAGATGGAAAACGGGAGATCTATTACTTCCCGAGGATAAGCTAATCGAGTCTATCGGGTGACTGGCTACTTTCATTTTTAGTACTCTCTAAGAAAAAACAGGGTGGGTGGGCGGGGCTAGTACCTGCTAAGATAAGGCTGATTTTGGCAAATGACGTACCCTCTAAGAAAAGATAGGGTGGGTGGGTGGGGCTAGTAGCTGCTAAGATAACAGTCATTTTTGGCAAATGAGATACCCTCTAAGAAAAGAGAGGGCGGGTGGACGGGGCTAGTAGCTGCTAAGATAAAACTAATTTTGGCAAATGACATACCCATATTACTACATCTTACTCTACTTTTGTCCTCTTTCTTTTAACATGTCAGTGTCTACCTCAAACGGGTAAAAATTTCCATAACTATAAATTTTAAATTTAGTAAATACAAAAGAAAAGAAAAGAAAGAATAAAAAACACAATAAGATGTAGTAATAAAAAATAATGGCAATAATAAATAATAAATAAAAGAATAAAATGTTTGAAAATTATCACAATTTATTTTTTTAACACCAGTATATAAAAAACAAATTTGATTTATACCGCAATAAATCACGTATCTTCATTTATCTCTCCACAAAATATTGTATCCCTGTCGCAATTTTTTTAACCTTTCCTTTGCTAAAAAATTTTAAGAAAATTTTAATGACTTGACAACGTCGTATCAAAACTGCGAAAATAAACTACGGTCATAGAGCCTAAGAACAGATTAGTCAGAATGTATAAAAATATATAGGGTATTCCATTGTAAAAAGCAGTTGTGTTATCCCTTAAAAAACGCACACTCTGTACAATTGAAAATAATTTTGGTATATGGTCCTCAAAGAACTTTCTTTTCTATTCGAGGAGCGAGCGCTTGGTGACTCACCCTGTTTATATTTATTATTTTTGGAGCAATAAACTCATACTTAATACCCGGACACTGCATGACTTAAAAGCTTGTTTTGGCACAAATCTGTTTCTGGACCTCTGAGCAAATGAAAGTCATTTCCAACTTTTTAACTAAATCACTTTAATATATTACTGTAGCCAGTATTTTTTGCTGTCTGAATTCATCTTTTTGGCACTGCATCCTAAACTGAAAAGAAATTCAAAACAAACAGGTTTGTTATAATTAATTTGCAAAATAATATACATTGAAAAACTAAACAATTAACTTAATCTTATCTGTTGTCTGAGAAAATAACGCAAATATTCAATTTCATATCTAATATAATACAAATATTACTCCTATAATTTAAATAATGCTGTACCGACGTTTCAATATGGAAAGTAAAAATTTACCACCCTTGTTATTTTAACGACAACGATTTGCTAAAAATAAACATACAAGTATAACGAAAATAACAAGTCACAAAGAGCGAGGCATTAAGGTTGTCGCTACACTAAAGCAGGGAAGAAATAGCGCTGACTAATCCTCCATAAGGATGGTAAAGCAACGGCCTGCTCCGAAAAAACTAATTGCTACTTATTTCATTGAAAGTTTTTCACAATTTTGAAAGGAGGAGGACCAAACTATGCTTGTATAATGTTATTGTTTGTAATCACAACTTGCGTCTACCTTTTAATCATAAAATTACCTAGAAATTGCAGTTATGGATATAATATTACTAAATTTTACATATAAACAAATTATTACAAAAAAAAAAAAAAATTTGGAAGAAATACTCAGACAATTCACTTTCAGATTTTTTGTTCTGTGCACCTTCTTACAGTATTTATATCGAAATTTCCTTGACTTAAAACTTTTCAAACTGAAAAGTGAAATATGTATACTTTTTTTAAATAAGTATTTAAACAAATGTTTAAATGTATTAAACTTACATTAGGTCTTAATTTTTACTAAGCGAAGTAACACAATATTTGAGAGCTCTCTAAACATTAGAAAGCATCTCATTATTGCACCTAATGTGTTTTTATTTTGATTAGCTACCGATGACACCTTTTTAAGATTTTTAATACATCACTGGCGAAAGTA